CGGAACGCGAGAGAAAACGATTCGTATTCTAGGGTAAAATCCTGTATAAAGACGAATATCCGATCTGGCTGATGATCACCCTGAATTTTCGTTCAGTAAATCCACTGTAATTCGTCGGCACATTTTATACTTGAATTCATTTTCCCTATCTCTTTAGAGGAACAAATAGTCATCAATTAGTGAAAATAACACGGCAAAAGATCTTTTCGAACACACAATAAGAAAATGCAAATACAATCGCGCACATAATGGAATATTATTCATTTCATTATTTGCATTTCTGAAAAACACTGTTGTTTAAAAATTACGCTGTGCAAGATCTTCTCAATATATTAAGAAAAGGCTAATGCAGTAACACCCTATATGGGTGTTAACTCGATAAAAGTTCTCCTGCAACATCTCCAACAAATAGCTACAATCGTATTCCAAGCCATGCCAAAATAAGTGACTATTGCAATTGAGGAAGATTTACACTTCTGTTCAGCGAAAGAAACAAAAAGTCTGAAGTCAAGTAGAATTTTCCAACTGAATATATATTATCAAAATACAAGGATGAGCAATGCCTGAATGAAAGCGATGTATTTCATTGAATTCTTAACGATGTTGAAAATAATCATCACCAACATTTTTATGCAAAATATAGCATGTACAATTAAGGCAACAACAATGAAGGCACCAATTTACTTTACATTAATAAAACAATCACGCTTCCATCGTTTTTATACAATTTCTAATTCACAAGCGAAATATAAGTGACTATTTTCGTGCGACTGTCCATTTTGAGATTTATGTTCTTAAGAGAGTGTTAAGGAAACTGAACGACAGTTGCAGGACTCACACGAGGCCGAGCAACAAATTGCAGAGGCGCAAGCGGTGTCTGCCATTCGAGAGAATCCCAAATATTTCTACAAATATGCCCGGTCAAAGGCCAAAATCAGAGCCGCAGTGGGGCCTCTGAAAAATAACGATGNGCCACAGGTGGCCCAAATGAGGGCAGATGAACGATAATCAGAGGCGGCGATCCATCGTGGCCTGGGACTGCTATGTCCCAAACAAATACTAAGGATACTAAGGATAGCATATTTTTTTGGTTGGACACTTAAATTTTCATTCAAATGTATTCAATTCAAAAACATTATTTAAATGATCTTCGCCGTTTTAGTCATTTTCCTGCTACTTTAATTACTAGAGAAAAAAACAATGTAACAAAGCACAGCAAAATACGAGTATGGTAGCAATCTGAGGGCACGACGCGATTTGAACGTGAATTTAAAAACTCATTATTTCTTTCACGCATAAAAAAATCTTGACGTAAGCTCCTTAACTTGAAGCCGTGATCAAATTTTCATAAGTTTTGAAGATCAGTGAAAGTCCGCCGGCCAACTTGGCGATGCAAAGTAGCCTCAAGTTGAAAACACATTCAAAGTTTGAAGCTTATATACGCGAAGTTTGAATGAGCGGTGCATGACGGTACGTTTAAAATAAGCTAGGGGAAGAAGTAAGGAACATAGAATTTCTTCAATGAAAGACAACTTTAACTTTAAATGACCTGAGATTGGCAATGCTTTTATTCAAAGAGAAAACTTTAATATCGAGATGATATTTCGCAAGGAAATGTAGAAAGGTTCGACTAAAATCACAACAATAAACAATCTCTGACAAAGATTTGAATATAAGGAAGGGGGCAATCTTGAAAAGTTTTCCGTATCAAGGGAATTTAAGAGAGGGAAATCGCGAAATATTTTTCTTATCATAATTTTTTATACTTCTCATTCACCGTTCATATCAATATCATATAGATATTCATTAGGAGTGGAAGAGAGACCGTGGTAACGTGCAGCTTGCGACATCAAATTTTTCTACAATAGATTAAATTTCATTTCTTTTTTTACAGTGATTTACAAATTTTTTTATTCGATTACTTCCAGGGGTGAACGTCACATAACACACATTTTATCATCTATTAATTTAAAAATTTCTACCCGTTGATTGTTCATTCCCATTCCTCGTAAGCGTACAAAAATCTGATTTGTTTATTTTATTTGCCCATTGAATTTCATGCACGGTTTAAGTTACTAGAATTTGAATGAATTGCTTCAATGAAATTAGTATTGCTGTTGAATACTTAATTTGGTTAGAAATTTTATATTTTCCGAGAAAACAGCCAAGTTCTAAACTGACGCGGTAGATAATACATGCAGGGTGAACCAGAATTAAGTAACCCTTTTAATTTGTTAATAAATAAAAAACTAGGAACGTTATGAAGTTGAAACTTGTTTTATTTAAAAGAAGAACATTTTTGTGGTAATATTTTATCATAGTTACGTCATTATCCTGTATAGCTTGCTAAATTTGTGTTTAATCATTAAGCCTTAAATTTTCATCGTGATTCGCTACAGCAAAGAAGAAAGAACGAAAATTCTGCAAACCTACATCAGGACGATGTCAATAACAGAAGTTCAGCGTGATTACAGGATCCATTTCAAAACAAGAATCAGTCCTTCAAAAAAAAACAATTAAATCTCTTTATCGAAAATTTGTGGATACCGGGAAATTACTAATGAAGGTTATGAAAGCAACGAAGAGAAGAGCCCTATTTTGTCAAAACAATTGTGGTGGGCATTTAAAATATATTATATTTAAAAACTAGGATACAATATTACCATAAAAATGTTTTTCTTTTAAATAAAACAAGTTTCAACTTAATAACGTTCTTAGTTTTTTATTTATTAACAAATTAAAAGGGTTACTTAATTCTGGTTCACCCTGTACAAACATAACTAACACAAAAATATATTTCAGTACTCACTGCAGTGAGTGACAGAGAGCGCATTTCTCGTCGACGAAAACGAGAAGTCACGGACAGACGGACGGACAGACGGACATGACGAGCATAATAGCGCTTTTTTTCCATAAATGAGAAATGCGCTAAAAATGGCAACAGATTGATAGATTTAAGTGCGATCAGACCATTGTATTCACACTTCAAACAGATGAAGTTTACGCGAAACTTCTCTCTTATCAATCCTTATTCATCCAGATACAAATCAGACTAAAATTTGCATAAGTAAAGTTTCTGATTTTTTTCTATTGTATAATATTAGCAATGCTATCAATGTGCGAACATGTTTATTACTCAATCAGGCAATTATTGCTTTGTATTAGCGCTTTACACTTTCGAATTGACTTCGGCGATTGTGAATATTATGTAGTTACTCGTAAGGTCAAAGATCTTAATTCAAATTTGAACGCGAGTAAATCATATATAAGCTTCGTCATTAAATTCATGTGGGCAAATCCAAACATACGAAGAGCAAATGAAGGGCAAATCTAAACATATTCATCTAAATGTTGAATAATTCGAACATGGACGACACCTGCCCCAGGCCGACGATGTTGAAACAACAATTGAATCAACCGTTATGTTGATTCAATGAAACAACATTTAATTACACGGAATAAATGAAAGAACATTTATTTACATTGATTCGACGAAACAACAGTTAAGTACGTTGATTCAACCAAACAACATTTAATTACGTTGGTTCAACGAAACGAATTTAACTACGTTGATTCAACGAAACAACATCTAATTACGTTTATTCAACGAAACAACATATATATAATTACGTTTATTCGACGAAACAGCATTTAAGTACGCTGATTCAGCGAAACAACATTTAGTTACGTTGATTCAACGAGACATATTGAGTTCAACGTTGATTCAACGTCAGCATCAGGTTTCACTAGCATTAAATAGCAAGTCTGTAACAATAAATCTAAAGTCGCACAGACTCGGGAGAACTGATTTGGTTGCCGCGCTGAAACCTGTAAATAAAGCTGCGCCGAAACATGTAAATTAAGCCGCGCTGAAACATGTAAATTAAGCTTGTAAATTAAGCCGCGCCGAAACATGTAAATTAAGCCGCGCTGAAACATGTAAATTAAGCTACGCTGAAACCTGTAAATTGAGCCGCGCCAAAACTTATGAATTGAGCAGCACTGACACCTCTAAATTAAGCCGCGCTGAAACCTGTAAATTAAGCCGCGCTGAAACCTGTGAATTAAGCCGCGCTGAAACCTGTAAACTAAGCCGCGCTGAAACCTATAAATTAAGCCGCGCTGAAACCCCCAAATAAAACCATGCCGAATGCAGCACGGATGGCCATCAGTTTTGATTGTCTCGACAGTTTGGCATAGCTGCCAGCAATAACAGTTAATGGGGGGCTGTATAGGCATGGACTTGTGTAGTTCTGGATACAAATATGCTGCATAACACTTTATTCGGGCCTTGCTCAGGCCCGAATATTGGCTATAATAATTAAATAAATTGAAATGTATACATATAACCCTCTTTTACATTTATGTCCTCTGTAACTTTTAAAAAACTCTGTAAAAAATATGTTGTAAATGTTGTAACTCTGTAAAAAATATTATCTCGGTACAATTCTAAACGATACATTAACTGAGTGAGAACATTAACAACATTTCCAACAGGTTCTAAAATTTTTAGATAAGGTGGAATTACGATCAGGAAATTTATTAGGTTTCAATGAGCCGAACCACGTTAAAAATTGTTGATTCTGTGAAGCGCAAAGATCACAAGTTCATTTTTTGTGTAAACCGAAAGAAATAACACAAGGGAAAAACGTAGATTATTGTATGCCCATTAATTACAAGAAACTAAAACACAAAAAAAAATATCTTCAAGTTTCTGTGTACATTTCATGGCAGTTCGAAAGCAAAATGAAACTGGTTCGTTTCCAAGTGTTTGCAGAAAAAAAGTTAGATTAATCGAAATTAAAACCTATTGAGACCTTCAAAAACAAATTCATTAAGAATCAACCAAGCCGCGAGCCAGGTACAAAAAAAGTAATTAATTTCATTTAAATAATGGAATTAATGAATAAAAATTCATTGTAGATATGAATCAATTATTCAATTAAGATAATAATATTATATTAAAATAATAATATTAGGCCTAATTGACAAACACCCACCAGAGTTTTCTCCCGCTGTCGCCGCTGCCACGGAAGCTCTGGGGCAGACTCGTCAGAGCTCGACGACGCCATGTAAACTGTCGCTGTCATGCTTTAACCAACGTAATTGCTACATATCTAATAAATTCTCCATCTCGGATTATTGAAATTATTATTTATTTTTTATTCAGAAGCAAAACTGCAATTCTGTTAAAATTAATATTATTTCCTAATTCATTTATTTTTTCATTCATTTTTTTCTTCGACATTTATTCAAACGCCATACTGCAATATTATTCTCGACTTTTTAGCAATGAATTAATCTTATTTTAATGGAAAAGACTTTACACTTTAATTATTCAGCCAAAACTTGCTTGACTTTTATTAGAAAAAAATTACTTTTTCAATTTCAATTATCCATATATATTTTCCATTGATTGCTGAGTGTTATTTGCTATTTTTAAGGTATTAACGCAACTACTGATTTTTTCAAACTGAATTCAGAGATGCTTCATCACTCGACAGTTATAATTCACAATTTTGTCAATTTGAGTAACAAATTCATTGCTGGTTATTTTTCCGCCACACAGCATAAACACACAAATATTCATTATATATGAGGTAAAGTTAAATTGCTCATTAAGTTAGAAGAAACAAAGTATTTTGATTTTTGTCCCTCAGAAAGCATCGTCAAAATAAAAATAAAACATACAAATTAGCACATATAAATTCGGACATTCCTCTTATGCAACAGTTTTTTTGCGACAATTATTTTCAATTATTATATGAAATGAAAGACACACGATAATAAAAATCACAATAAACGGATTCTCTTTATGAATTCTTATCATTTCCCTCACCCGATCCCACTTTCCCTCGTTTCTGACGAATTTATTGCTATGTTTATTAAATTATAATAATAATAATTATTATTAAAGTTATTGTTATTATCATTATTATTATTATTATTCTTTGTTTTGTATACGCCTACACGTTCAGCGATACTTCTTATATTAAAGTAAAATAGAGCGTCCATCTTATATAAGCCGTGCCTGTACGTGTACAACACCTGCACTGATAAGTAGACGATATTGAAAATTTTAACACAATTTGGTGCGAGTACAACATTTAAAATTATAAAAAGACGATAGTAAGGTATTTTAAAGCGTGTCTAAGACGCCTTCACTTTACAAGAGAAGATACGAACTAATTTGCATGCCGCAAATATCCAGAAACTGCATCAGTGCGCAGCGCATTTATATAACGCATTCCAGAAATCCCGGTAGGCACTCCGAAACTAATTAGGAATAATTGCGTAATTAAAGAGAGGACTAATGAGCCAGGTAATGAAGCGGTGGGCCTTCATATATATATGATCTAAAATTGAAAAATAAATAAACTAATTAGCTACTAACCTTAAGAATCGAGTAGAAAATTTGAAAAGAATACGGTTTTGTTGCAAATTTTCGAGTTCAGCGCACCCAATATGCTTGCCAGTCCGAACATCTCGTTGAACTATAAGCGTGCTGACCACATTGACTAAAAAATTCATTCAATTAAAACGTTATTGGTAAACCACAATGCAAACCACGTACGCAGAACGCAATATGTGCAATTTGACTTGATGAAAAAGCAAAATTTGACGTAAATAACGAGTTATAATCGTAGATCACATTAGCAATAGATTTGCAAATGACCAACACGAGGCGTTACACCATAAAATTGCTACGCCAAAGGTTCCATTTACTATATTACACGTAATGTAATCTTACAGATAATTCAACATTACATATAATATAATATCATATGAAATCTAATATTCCATTGTAATGTAATATGGTTTAAAATTTCATCCTTTAATGTTTTCGTCCCATTCGTGGAAGTGAATCATTGCCGGGATTTCCAATTTGATCAGAAAATAAAGGTCTACGGAAATTTTTTTACATTTTTTGACGTTAAAAATTAATAAGCTTACAAATGGATGATATAAATATTAGTTATAATGGGCATGGATGATGGTCGCGCGAGGGCAGGTCAAATTAAACAGGTAAGAAAATGTGAAGCGGAGAAAGAATATAACTCAGTATATACTTACTGCAGTGAGTGACAGAGAGTGCATTTTCTCGTCGACGAAAACTTAAGGTCACGGACGGACAGACGGACAGACAGACGGACATGGCGAGCACAATATTGCATTTTTTCCATAAATGAGAAAATGCTCTAAAAAGGTGAAGGTGATACTAACAGGTGAAGGTGCTGGAAATGAAAACTTTCCCCATCTTTCACCGGACAAACAATCATTTTCGAACAGACAATAAAAAATAATTTCAACTTTTATTTCAAAATATAACGTAGACAGGGTCGTAGTGTCGAACATTCACAATGTTGTCACTAGTTTTACGACGGCTGCAAACCCGAGTGCCACGCCAACGCTTCGCCGCTTCATAGTTTTCAATCTGAAATTCGTTTAAATTGTTGGACGTAGGATGTCATCATTACTTTTCAGAACCTGCAACTTGACAGTGTTTTTTATTACAATTTTCTACCGAGTTGAAGAATTTTCAGCGAATTTTAAATTCGTTGAATAAAAAACTATTTCAAAATTAGAGAAAATATTTTGTTGTATGTTTTTGTATCTGATTTCGGTATTTCAGAGTCTTTTTATATAATTTCACAAGGCAGAAAATACAATATCAGTTTTAAAAGAGGTAAATAAAATAAAAATATCATTTGCGTATATCCAGATCTGAGTTAATTCAGATAGGTAGGCAACTCGGCTAGGTCGTGTGAATTCAACATGGTACATAATGCGATGCATACATCATAGTACATAGTATGATGCATACAACATAGCTCATAGTATGATAAATACAACATATTATTATACATACAAAATAGCTCATTGTATGATAAATACAATATATTATTATGCATACAATATAGTACATATTAGGATGCATTTAACATAGTACGATATATACAACATTTTATGATATATATAACATTGTAAAACAGCACATTTGAATCGTTGTATTTCAGATAACGTCACCGAAAAAAACAAGATTGCAGCACTAATAATCTCTGAGATCCAGCTAATTAGATACTCACAGAAAACATATCAATGAATTACACTAATTACTTTAGAATTTATATATCTAAAGTTCATCAGGGCGTTAAAATTTGCAAAATTGATTAGCAAAGGACTGATATAATGCATGAAGTAAGGTGTTCGTTAATGAGCTTTGACATGATAATTTTAATCAGTGCGCATTTGAAATCATTGAACTAATTAACAGACAGGATGTGGTGCTCCTCATTAGCCACATGAGCTCATTAACACCAGCTAGCTAATGAAAACACGATTGTGCGATAATTAGCACCCACTGGTGTGCTAATGGGAATGCACTGGTGCGCTAATGAGAATGCACTGGTGCGCAAATGAGAATGCACTGGTGCGCCAATGAGAATGTGCAATTGTTCGCCAATGAGAATGCAACGGTTCGCCAATGAGAATCCAACGGTTCGTCAATGAGAATGCAATTGTTCGTCAATGAAAATGCAATGGTTCGTCAATGAGAATGCAATTGTTCGCCAATGAGAATGCAACGGTTCGCCAATGAGAATGCAACGGTTCGCCAATGAGAATGCAATGGTTCGCCAATGATAATGCACTGGTTCGTCAATGAGAATGCACTGGTGCGTCAAAGAGAATGCAATGGTTCGCCAATGAGAATGCAATGGTTCGTCAATGAGAATGCAATGGTTCGCCAATGAGAATGCAATGGTTCGCCAATGAGAATGAATTGATTCGTCAATGAGAATGCACTGGTGCATCAATGAGAATGCAATGGTTCGCCAATGAGAATGCAATTGTTCGTCAATGAGAATGCAATGGTTCGTCAATGAGAATACAATTGTTCGCCAATGAGAATGCAACGGTTCGCCTATGAGAATGCAATTGTTCCCCAATGAGAATGCAATGGTTCGCCAATGAGAATGCAATGGTTCGCCAATGAGAATGCAATGGTTCGCCAATGAGAATGTAATGGTTCGCCAATGAGAATGCAATGGTTCGTCAATGAGAATGCAATGGTTCGTCAATGAGAATGCAATGGTTCATCAATGAGAATGCACTGGTTCGTCAATGAGAATGCAATGGTTCGTCAATGCGAATGCAATGGTTCGTCAACAAGAATGCAATGGTTCGCCAATGAGAATGCAATGGTTCATCAATGAGAATGCACCGGTTTATCAATGAGAATGCACCGGTTCGTCAATGAGAATGCAATGGTTCGTCAATGAGTATTTACTGACGTGTCAGCGAAAGTTCACTAATTCGCTGACACGACTTCACAAGATGCTATGGTTTTACTATTAGTCAATCTCTTGCAATACCAAAACATTGCTGCACCTAGCAACTAGGCATATACTAATGGAATAATAGTCAGAAAATTGAAACGAAACTAAGTTAAGTCAGTTTTAATCTGCATATTACTAGAGTAAATTATAAAATAGATTAAACTTACTGCAAAACTCAGTGTAGTGTTTGATTGGTGAACAGAAATTTAACGCAATTTCATCAAAGACTCCAATCTAATTCATGTTTCAAATTTTCAAATCGAAGTTCGATGGAACGTTAAGAATGTACACGATATATTCTCTTTTAATTAACTCACTCTATTTAAATATTGATGTAATACGAGCGACACAAAACAACGACACCATTTACATCACACTTGTACAGTCCATGGCACATCTACTGCATCGTGTACACCAGTGGTTCCCAAAGTGGGCGATATCGCCCCCCTAGGGGCGGTGGAAAGATTTTGGGGGCGGTAAGGAAGAAGAGGGCGGTAGGGGGGCGATAAAGGGGGCGGTAGTCCGAAGTCAGAAGTTCGAACGTTTGTTTGACGATTTGTACACTACACGTGCAGCACATGACTCCCAGCGATGTTTTTCAACCAGATCTGTTTTTTTAACCTCTCCTTGGTTTACGTCTCGGACAAATTAACGGGCCGGACTCGCGGCCGGTCGCACGGCCAATTTCCGAATTCAATGATCAAGAAATATCTCTCAAACTAAAGAACTTAACTCGATTTAACTTGGTGCACGTATTCATTAGGACCTAACGATAATGTTTTGCTCGTGAAAATTGTTTGAATTTTGCCATCGTTTGCCATTGTTATA